CTTCCCCACTATAGTGAGGAGCAGAAAAAGTTAGCTTTTCCAGGTTTTATGATTGATATTTAATCTTTTTAAATTAGGATGTTATCTTCATCTTTGTATTTCTTTTCATATTAGATATTTTTTGTATCATTTTGAGTCACTTATGTAAAGTTTTCTATAAAGAGTATCTTTATAAATATTATTGATATGTTTTACAACTATTATCATTATTACCTCCAACTGTATTGCTTAGAACTTCATCTTTCTTTTACAACTGCTCTCAAACTCTCAAATTTTCTATTCTTTTGCAGGTCATCCTGCAACACAGCTACTTTTTGCATGTGTAAAATGTTTTTCTTCCTTTTTTCTAAGCCTTCCTTATTTGAATTATTTAAAGATCTGGTAATAAACATAGAAATCTTTCATTAGTAGAAATAACAAGTCCTTTTTAAACACTCTATGTGGAGCTTTTCTATAAAATCTGTTAAGAGGAATGTACATTCTGAATGTACAATTGGAACGCTACCCAAAATTAAGTGTAATAGCTGTTTTCATATTAGTCATAAATAATTATGTGATTTGTATAAATAATTGTAATTAACTGTATTTCTATGGATTATGAGTAGGATTGTGGCGCTACATTAGATATATATTTGCTGTGCAGAGGGCTCTTGAAGCTCTCCAGCTCTCCTGCTGGGTAGATAATGACTGACCCGTGGCGCTTTAACAGAAACATCAGTCTTTGACCGCCTCAGCCAAAAGTTGATTACGGCTCCAACATTTTTACCACTCAGAGCCATAGCCTTGGTACCAGCTAAAAATAGTGAAAACGCTTATACTGAAACTCACACTGCCACTTAGAAGGAAAGAGAATATAATAATAAAAAAAACAACAAAAAAACAGAGGGGTTAGCATAAGGAAAATCGGGTTGGAAAAGAGCAAGATGGGAATTGAAGTGGCAGAAATTAAGATCGATATCAGCAGTGGAAAGCTCAGCATGTAATGAAGGAAACTCAGAAGGGAGTGCAGACTGTTACACCCCAAAACAGATGTTCCACTTTTCTTTTTTTTTAATAAAATTTAATCTTGGAAAGAAAAACTGTGACACAGTCCTGATGTTCCATAACAAGGGAGAGGCTGGTGATTGTGGAAATAAAGAGCTTTAAACTTCTCTTGTTGTTTTGCAATGTTCTTCTCCATTGAGCCCGCTTTTCTCTCTGTTTGTGTCTGCAGCATCACCAAGCTACCTGACTCCCATAATATTGTTAATGTTTCCACTCTGGCAGATTACAGAAATGAAATTTGCTGATATTTTTAGCTAAGGACTCTCTCCCGCATCATGTTTAAAAAAAATTTCCAACAAATGAAATAGAGTCAAGATATCTAGTTCCAAGCTAAGTTGTTTTCAGTCACAAGTAATGCTTCCCTCGCCACTGAAGTAAAATGAATTCACTTCCTAAACTTCCTACTTTACACAATAGCCATGGGCAGGCCGGACTACACTCCCCAGAGACGTCCAGACTGCACTCCAGGGCAGTGAATGAGGCGCTATGCATGAAAATATAGCTCCTTGGTCACCAAATCTAAATAATGTGGGACACTGGAAATAGCAGAAACCCAGTGAGAAGATGCTGTCAACAAATGAGATCAATGTTAATAATCGGCACATCAATATCCTCATCACATGGCTTCTAGTTTTAGGAGGAGACAAGCAAAACATGTAAAGCTTTATGGGCAGAAAATGAATTTATTAGTTCTGTATATGAGCTGGGATTCAGTGTAACCATGTAATGGGTATGCACAGAAGTAAGCTAAGGCCTAGCTGGGACAAAGTTGCTGCTTCCTCTTTCAGACTGCATCAACAGTCCTGTGACAGTGACACAGTTTGCTTCTATTAAATGCAAAAGCCTTTTAGAGCAAAGCAGCCGGCTAGTAGCCATATTTACTCCAGGGGTTCTCGGGAGGGCAAAGAAGGCAGGGCAGAAGAGAGAATGGAAAGAAAAAAAGCAGCCTGCATGGTATCCTCTACCAGGCAAAAAGCTGTGGTTAAAAAAAAAAAAAAAAAAAGAAGAAAAAAACATTTTCTGTCCTACCATTCCTATGCTTCATATGTCCTAACTGAGACTCAATAATACATCTTAGAGTATATTTGCAACACATTCTAAATAGCACTATTATTCTAATTCAAAATATATGTGAAATACAACAAAAGAAATTACATTTGTTTAAAACTGTATGTCTTTTTTGAGCTCAGTTGAACTGTTTTTAAAGTAGCTTCTTAGTGTGCTGGTTTACACACCAGCTACTTAGAGAAGAAGAACAAAAAGACTGAAAAGAATATGTGTAATGGTTTAAACAGGAGTATTACTGTAACTGTACATTCGTAGATCTCACAGTGCAGACTAGCAGGGTCTAATGAATGCGTAAAGATGGCTTATTTTCTGTCATTAGATAGGAAATGTATGAATTAGTCCTTAAAGCTTTGGTCTTTAGCTATCAATTGTTCAAATGTTTTAAGGAATAGTTAGTTTTGACTACCTGAACATATTTCATTAAGTCTTGAAGTTCTACAGAAATATTTTCGATGATGTTAAAGTCCTTGTACTAAACTTGCCCAGAGATGTTTACATACACCTTACAGTGGAGATGCCTTTAAAAAGTTGGCTCTATAAGGGAGCTCAAAACTGATGAAGAGTTTAAATTTCTCAACAAGTGAAAACTAAACCATTTAGAGCATTTTAGTGAGTGATAAAAAAAAATTATTTCAAACAACACAAATAATCTAGTAGAGAATTGTAATATGTCACTTTTAAATCACAGATGGCGCTAGCTTAAAGGCTAACCAGTCCTACATTACAAATAATGTCAGTCTGTATTATGAACCTCAAATTAACTATAGGAGGGAGGGGGGAAAGGGGATTAATCTTATGTTATGTAGGCTAAGTGATTAGTGTAGTGATGAACCTCGGCTACATCTGCTAAATGTTTTCATGCTGGATTAATGCATTTATGCTGTATATTCGTGTTAGCTTTTTTCATTATTTTTAGCTCCTTCAGGCGGTAAATGGTAAAAGGCTTGTTCTTATATAATGCCTTTTCAAGTCAGGGGACTCTAAAGCGCTTTACAGTGGATTCATTCATTCATGCACACATTAACACGCTGATGGTGGCAAGCTACATTGCAGCCACTGCTGCCCTCGGGCTCACTGATAGAAGCGAGGCTGCCGTACACAGCCGCCGCCACGCCCTATGACCCCTATCAGTGGGCAATGAGGGTGAAGTGCCTTTGCCCAAGGACACAGGAAGCTGAAGCATGGGGTCAAACTGGTTGCAGGGCGGACTCCTTCATCTGACGCTGCCATTACCATAGGAGGGCACAGCGAGCAGAAGTTGGAGAAAAAGTGGATAGATTTCACTATCGCTCACTAGGGGTGTTCTGATACAACTTTTTAATTTCCAATACCATACTGTTATTGGAGTTTTGAGGATTGGCTAAAACTGATATTGACCCAATGTGAAAAGAGCACAAATTATATTTTTAATACTTATTTTGTAGTATGGAATTTAAGGAAAAGCTTAATAAAGTGACATTACTTAAACAAAGAGCAATGCAAGGTATGAGAGCAACAGACCAATTTATTATCAACTAAAACATATGCTTTAAAATAAAACATAAGAATATACCACAATTATCAAAATTTAAATGAATAAATTAGATAATAATCCTGTGCATTGCAAATTTTGCACCCAGCAGCTGTTGTGACCACGTGAGTTGTGCAGAATACAAGAGCTGCTTAAATCTTAGATTTGGGATGCAGATCAATATTATCAGATATTTATGTCTCGGCTTATATTGAACCGATTTCCAATATCAAATCAGCAAACAGTGATATTCACCAATAGTATTGCATCTTGCATGTTTGCTGAATATGTGCAGCCCAAGTGATAACATGTTATTTAAGCAGCAATACCAGCTAAATCTGTTGGGCTCTCTTTTTAGCATCAAAACAATTATTCTTACTGCCAGACAGGACACCATTAAAAAACAAAAATAATAATAAATTGAAAACATTTTTAAAAATAAGCAGCAGTAGCTCTTAGATCATGTTATAGACATTTGTTTCAGTTCTCCTTTAATTCCCTGACTCTCAGTGTTTTTCAATTGTTTCATTAGGATAGCATAGAGTAAAAAAACAAAAACCCAAAAAAAACTGCAGGTGTTTTTTTTAATTCATATATTCTTTATTTCCCAAAGTTTTATAGGGGGATGTGTTGATGGCTGCAAAAATCCAAACTGAGCACAAAGAGAGGGGATGTAGGCCATCTACATCTGCCCCATGAAAACAAAGCCTCACCGTTAGAGGAGGACAGGGGTCCGACATTGGAACACGTTTTCCAATTTTTACTACAAATTAAACGATCAACTGGAAAGATTTATCTCCTCACACAGCTTGCAGAGTAAAACAGGGCTGCCTGGTTCCCAAAAGATAAACAAAGCGCCCTAATGGGAACGACCTTCATTGATGTGCATCTTGCCTCCACTGCCATCCGAGCGCCTGCTGAAGGATGCAACTCACAGGAAAACAGTAGGTTGGGAGTTTATGATATAAACTCCAAATAAAAACTGAAGAAAAAAATTATGTATTCGGTTGTTTTTTGTTTTGTTTGTTTTTTTCAGTAGAGAGAACAGAGTGAGGGAGACTGAGTCGCCTAACAAAGGTGGAGCAGGGAGCCATCCAGCAGCATGTTTAGCAGGATATTCCTCCAGCTTGCTGATTAAATTCGGTCACCCATTTATTTAAAGCTTTAAAGTGAGTAACTTAATCAGTTTTTTTCAGTTGACATTGAAAAATCCCCTGAAATCGGGAGATGTGCAAAGGAAAAGCTGAAATCGACTCTTTTTCCTTCTCTCTCTGTCGTAAACTGCACGTGAGTGAGACAGTCTTTACGGTGAAAGCCGTTTTAAAGCCTATTAATTTTATTGTTTTCTGTGTAAAAGTCGAGTCTAAGCTCCACTTACCCTTTTCTGTAAGCTGTGAGTCGCTTCTGAAGGTGTGTGTGGAGCCCAGCCCTGGGAGCGCTGGCCTTCTCTTCCTCCGTTGCTCAGCAATAAGCTACTCCTCTGAAAATAACGGCAGGCGCATCAAAGAGCAGGACAGATACTGTTTCCGGTCAGCACTTTCAAAATAAAACACAAGGAAACAATAATAAGACGAAAGGTTTCTGTGCTTCATCCACCGTCAATGGCTGTTCTTGTATTAATGTCCCTTCCTGTCTCCAGCTTGTTTTTACATTTTCTCAATCTGCTGATCTCAGACCCCCAAAATTTGAAAATAAAGTCTGTCTTTTACAAACTGCATTAAGGTTTTAAAGAAGCTTAAACTGTTTTAACGAATCTATGTATCTCTTGTTTGCATTTAACATTATTTTGTATCCGGTGGTGTCAAAAGTACACACATTTGTTACTTAAGTAGAAGTATAGATACTGCAGTTTAAAAACACTCTGGTAAAAGTTAAAGTATCAACTTGACCTCTTTACACAAATAAAAGTGAAAAAGTATGTGCTAAAACTACTTAAAGTATAAAAGTATAAAGTAACCTTTAAAAAAAAAAACGCCAGATGCCATTATATGAATTGAAAGCTAAAGTGTACGACTATTTGGAAAATTGCATTGAGATAGGGCCAAGGATGGGGGAGCTGTTGTTGGTCTCAATCTCCCGATATGCTCTCTCCTGTGTCCGACCTTTCAGACATTTCAACATCTTTTTCTGAATCCAACATTGTAGCATGAAATAGACAATTCACGTTTACAGTTTGAAGAACACCTGCTTGCTTCTGATGATTTCCTTTAGCCAACCAATGAGTGTTTGCGTTTTATGACTCATCCAATTACACAAATTTTCAACTAGATGTGGATGGTGCCAATGATCTGCATTGGATGGCGCACATGATGTGAAATAAATATTTAAAATCATTAAACCGAGGCCAAGAGTAACAAGTAATGTTTGTTTAAAAAATTTAAGGAATAGAAAGTACAGATACTTGTGTGAAAATGTAATGTGTAGAGGTCAGAAGTAGGAAGAAAATTAAGTAATGGAGTAAACTATAGATGCCGAAAAAGTGTATTTAAGTACAGTAACAAAGTATTTGTACTTTGTTACTTGACACCTCTGTTTATATCGGAAGTAGAGATGATTAGATGTAATTTAAACTCTTTTAGAAAAACTAAAATAATCCTACCAGAAACTTTATTTCAGGTACCAACTTCAGATGCATTTATCTAGCTGTGATTCATGGCCAAATTTTATTCTGCTACTTAAACTTGGCACAAACAAATGCAGACATTCAATCTTCAGCATTGTAATGTTGAATTCGTAATGATATGCTTCTTAATTTCTGTTGTTGGGAGCAGGTTCATGCCAGATACCGGTATATGCTGGTATATAAAGAGCTGATAAAGAGGGTCAGTATCACTCTGGGAGGTCCTGTAGAAAACCACTGCAGATTAATACATTAAATGATCAATAATGAATGAATGATGGATAAAGAAAATGGAGAATGTCACCTGGCCATCCTTTATCAGACAATTATACAACGACAATGTTCAGTCTTCAGTCAGAAGCTTCTCCAGAGCTACTGTAAGACAGACAGCTACAGGAGACCCTTCCTTCGTACTGCCATCAGTCTCTACAACAAATGATCAATGGGCTATTTAGAAATTATTTGAAGCAACATACATAAGAAACAGAATCCATTTGTAAAAGTCTAGAATCTTTTTTGTCATTTAACAGGTCTGGTTTCAGAAGTCCAAAATGTGGTTCATAGAATCTATACGAAATAACTCCGTCCATGTACCCTTCCTCTAAATTTCACTATTTCCGTTATTGTCTCATTCATGAGATGGCATTATGTAAAACAAAAAATAAAAGTATAGAAAATGCTATTCCAGTTTCACAAATACAGAGTTTTCTTACGTTTCAATCCATGTTTTCAAGGAATCTCTGCTAAAAATTGTACTCAAGTTGCAATACCTCAATGTATTTTTGCTCTATTAAGAATGAAAAGTAGTCATCCAATATTTCACTCAAGTAAGTTAAAAAAGTTTTAAAAAAGTAATTGGTAAAGAGGCTACTCAATTACTGAGTAACTGTTGGATTATAACATCTGATTAATACTTAGAAAGGATTCAGTCAGATATGAATATATGCCAATTCTGGTATTCTTGAAAAGTAAATATGTGAAAAATACAAAGAAATAATATAATTACAAAATAGATTTATCCCTGAAGTTGGTTGATAGTTTTATTAGTAGTGGAGGCTGTAATGGATCATGTGGCTCTTTGTCCATGGCAGGGAGCAGAGGGCTTGCTCAGGGAAACTACATGATCAAAGAAAATAGATTTAGTCAAATATAGATTAGGATTTATTGAAAAATGTCTAAAAACACAGAAAAGGTTTCTGTTTTTTGGCCTTTGTGTCAATCTACGAATAAGACAGGATGACAATATGATAGATAAGGAAAACCTGCAGTAAATTGTGTACATTCGGCTGTTGGTAAAATCCCCTTCAGTGTCTCGGTTATGGAAACAAACTTGTGACTCCATTCTTCCTTCTGCACCCCTGGTGTCTTCCTAGAAGGAGTCGCTAGTTGTGCCTTACTTTGATATAAAAGGATTGTCCTAAAGTAGCAATCCATGCTTTCAGACTGTGGAACAGGAGAATCCAGTTCCTCTTTTAAGTAAAGTTACTTTTATCCAAGGTTTTGTAAGATATATTTGTGTTTAAATTGTCAATTTTGTTAAAACAATTATTCATATTAGCAGTTCTTATAATATATTATCTGATACGGAGTCAATAGCTCATCATGGAGCAGGCTTCTCAGCTATAGTGTAATTACATTAAACAGTTCAACAATGCTGCTCAACATAATAATATACTGATTCCAATCAAGGTTTGTTGTTAATTTTTGCCTCTGAGAGAATTACGAGTCATTTTGTTTATCAGAGATGTGTGCAAGCCTTTTAATCTACACCGAAACCAGTCTGGTCTGCCTGAAATGCTGTTTAAGATTATAAAAAGGAATGAAAAACTTGTATGCTGTTAATTAAAAACAATGAAATATTTTATTCTTTAATAACATGCTTAATAAAAGACTATTTTACAACTTTTAAAAGAGTAAATAAAGTATAAAATGCACTTATATTATTAACATTTTAAATCCTTTCAAACGTGAAAAACCTGTGTCTTTGCCAAGGCAGACAAAGTGCTATACAGCATACATTTGTAAAATCCTTTTTTTTTTTAATATGATCATTGTGTTATATTTTTTATGTAGTATATTTAGAAGATTCAAGTAGAATCTATCTAATGCAATGTCATTTTCTACACAAAGCATTTTATCAAGTTAATTTTGGTAACAAAAAAACTCCCCAAATTTTTACAGTATGTATTTTTTTTTATGTTTCTTTAGCTTATTGGACAATAAAAGACATATTTAAATTATGTTACGATGCAGAGGTTGGGTTTTCTGCTATAAAAACTGAATAAAATATGACTAATGAGGTGTGCAGATGGTAGATGACATCACATAGGCTGACTCAGAGGATTAGTGTGAGTGCATCGCTCAACTTTTAAGAACTATCCCGTCTTTTAGTTTGAAACTACCACCGTTTCCTGTTTGGTATTTGCCAAGGCCCAGCTTGATGCAGCACATCAGCAGCAGAAGCGCCTGCGTCTACACTTCCAACCGTGGATGCTTCCAACTCAACCAGAAGCAATGTCCGCCAGAACCGAGTGGGCGGGTTTCCTGGACTCACTGCTCACTTTCAGAAAGCTTTTGTTTCTGCAGCACCACCTTGGCTTCACAGCTGGCAAAATGAGACTATTATGCCTGATTGCAGCATAAAGTGCGGGTCAATTTAACAGGGATGCAGAGGAGTCTAAACCACAAATGAAAAAAGGATTTCTAAAGGACCAACCTTGATGACTTTAAAGACCCAAAAGGTAAGATATACATTAAACATGTTATTCAAATGTGATACCAACTGTAATAATAAATTCTACATTTTATAAAATGCAACAATATTAAAATTATATTGTATTTTCTTTGGAACCAAATGAATTCTATCTTCTAACAAAAACAAAAACGCTAAAATACGAACAGATACTTCAATTTAGTTTAAAAATGTAAATATAATAATTAATATATATTCAAATATTTTAGTGACATCTGGTTGAATTTCTGTGTATTTAGAATAAAATATCCGAATTGGCCTCTATATCGGTTTTGAAGTTATTAAAATGTATGCCTCACACACTGATGTGATGTCCCATAATACCATAGTTTCTTGAATTGGTTGAAGGTACCAAGTCTTGTGTCTATATTTTATATAATAATATACATATAATAATATTATATATGTATATATATATCTATATATATATATATATATATTTTTTTTTTTTATTTTTTTTTTATTTTTTTTTATTTTTTTTTATTTTATATATACCGGTATACATATACCGGTATATATTTTATTTTGTGTATAAAATTTTTAAAACCCTGTCGTTCTTGTCTGCTGCGCTGACGTAAGGACGTCAGCGTAAGAACGTTCAATTTATGTAAGGGGACGAGCCGTAGTGAACCATAGCACCTTCTCTTTTATGGTTGTGTGATTAGTTATGTAGTTACTTGTCTCAAAATTAATGTGAATTTTAAATAAATTAAGTAAATCAAATTTTTCATTTATTTTAGTTTGCATTTACACCGAGTAAACATTGTCGATATACATAATATACAATATTTTTTTCCAAATTATGTTAACTTTTAGACACCGCGCGGTCTTTTCTAAATTGTATTGGTTGAGCGGTGTGATCTTTCTGTTTTCCAAACTGAATGTTGTTATTATTGATCCGGTAGACGTGTTTAGAGAAATCGAGCGCACCCACGTCCGTTGGAAAGGGACGTTAGAAATCTGAGCCTGAAGGCGTGGATGTGTGTTTTGAGCAGCGAATGGACAGGAAAGATGGAGGACCAGCGGGATGTTCAAACTTCCAAACGACAAGGCAGCTACAAATCTGGATTATCTGCAGGTTCTGCCATGGCTATGGAGATTAAACGAAAGAAAATACGAGAAAGCCCTCTGCTCTTACAGAAAGAGGTATGTTTAAAGAGGCGACGACACGAGATGTGGTTAAATGAAATGACAGTAAATGCCCGAAGCGTTACAAAGTGAAATAAGTAAGGCTAACAAAGTGCAACATACCTAAGAGCAACGTAATTCTCGTTTTTTAATCAGAATGTTTAATTGAAGACAACACTAAACCTCTTTTCGTGTACCCGTTTTCTTCATAGAAGCATTTTCATTCAACAATAGAAACAGAACCTGCCATTTTTGTTTCTGTTCATTTTGGTTCAAACTGGTCAAAACATGAAATGACAAACCTGCAGCTATTTAGAGGGAATACATTTTCTGTTTATAGGACAGATACCTAAAAAGGTGCACATCTTTAGTCCTGATATAGAGGGTAAGCAGTTGTTTGTAGATTAACTTAACATTTTGCTCCATTTATTCACAAACTCCAATCATGTATAGATGATTAGAAATCAAGCAATCTTTGTCTGCCCAAGTTGCTTTTGAATGGGAGACGATGCTCACTGTATGTATCTTATATTGCAGGGTTATTTCCATGCCAGATTGCAAATATCACAATATTTTTTATTAACTATAAATTCAGTTTTTTTTTATTTGAGTGAGCATTTAAGAGGGTTTTTAATGGCTTAAACATCATCATCTTTATTTTAGACCTTAAAGTCATTGATTATCCCAGATTTTGAATAAAATGTTTAATGTTTGCTCTCTTATTGCATGAATGGGCAATAAACCAGATCTATAATAACATGATCTCAATTATTTTGCTCAAAGTCTACAAAAGATGTCTACTTCTGAAAGTAGTTTGACATTTGAATGCTTTATTACGTAGTTTATTAGCAGTTCCTTCATAATGGGGTTGTGTATATTTAACAAGGCACTTCAGAAATTTGCTAAATCCCATTTTTAGCAACTCCTGTGAATCTTGTGCCATTAAAAGTATTGAAGCTAAGTAACCTTTGAATAAAATGTCACTAAATCAAATCTGTGTGCATTTTAAAGATCAAAATTTCCCCAAGCTTTTTCGGGGTTTTTTGAGAAGCTAAAAACAAAAAGAAAACTGGCAAGAGGAAAAGTAGTTTGCACTTGATAAGTCAATTATTGACTTTGTTGTCATATATGTCAATATAATAAAACAAAGGTTGAAGTAGTGACGTGCAAAGCAATTGCTGAATAATATTTTTACCCTATTTTCTGTTGATTGGCTCTGAATGTTCTTTTTTTCCCACGTTTATTTATTCAATTCAATTAAAAATGATTGTATTGAACTCCAATGGGAATTTCAATCTTAAAGTTATGAGGTTGTTCTCAATAGGTTGGTGTTGATGTTAATAGCTGTAAGCAGGAGGGATTTTCTGTAGTGGTCTGATTTGCTACGGGCTGGCAAAGCCTCTGACTAAAGACACTCTGACAAGGATGCTCACTGTTTTCCATAATCTTCTTTACTTTGTGAAAATTTCCTCTTTGTGAAAGAAGAGTTCTTAGAATAGCTCATTGATTGTTTTAGGTCATTTGTCTGATTTTGTTACCACAGTAGATTATAGATTAACTGAATTAATATTTCCCTTTTTTGTGGGAGTTAAAAGAAAAGCATAATTAAAAAAAAAAAGTTATTTAATGCATCTGCTAAATGACATATAAAGGTTACAGACATAAGATTCAATGCAAAGATTGTTGCAAGGTCAATTGATCAATGCTATCAGATCAGTTTTAGTACAACCTTTTTTCAGTCTTTATTAGAGATAGATTGATATATTTTTGGCCGATAGCATTTATTTCTTGCATTGGAATCTGCTGATGCATGCATGCCTTCCCAGTTTGCAGGTTCAGTTCATTCAGCAGCCATGCCTTAAAATCACATGAAGCAATGCATTGCCTCTTCCTCTGTTTTTATTTGATTTGTTAATAAATTTGTATTTGTTGTATAATTTGAGTTTTGTATAAGATTTGCTATCATTTGTGTTATTATTACATGCACATGGAGAAAAAAAAGGCAGAATCGGCTTCATGAGCTCCAAAAACTCGGAAAAATGCTAATCAGGGATTAGTCATTTGTTAAAATAATCACTAGAGATCAACCTTACAAAAAACTAAAACTACCGGTACTATATGTTTCAAAATATATCTTTGTCTATGCGATCATACCATATTAAAGGTCTGATTACCATTGTGACCTGCCTGTTTTGTAATGTGCCTTGAGATGATATATGTTGTAAATCTGTGCCATATAAAGATCAGAAAAAATCTCATTATGTACTTGTTTTCTTATTTAATTTTAATCTATCATGTATTACAGAAACTTCAAGTTATTCTCTTTCATAGTGGATTTTTTTTTAATTCAACAGTTAAATTAAAACGCCATATCCACAAAGGTAGCTCAAACGAGACCCTTGGATCTGCCAAATTCCCAATCAATACATTTAACATTTGCACTAGAGACTGACTGATACAGGTTTTTAAAGGCCGATGCTGAAACGGATTATTTAGACATCAGTTTACCCAATCCCTGAAATGTTGTGCTGATTTTTATGTTTATTTTTTGGGGCCAAATCTTATGTCTGAATATTGTTTTTTTTTCTACCTCCTTACATGACCAAAGTGGCACAAGATAACAAATCTTACACAAGTCTCAATTAACAAAAGAAAGGAAATATTTATCAACCAATACCCCTCATTTGTGTAAACCACATACATTATTTTTTTTCCTTCTGCTGTAAAAACCTGATCAATGCATTCTTTATCAACAGGTTAAAACAGCCAAACATCTGCTGTTATTTTAGGTCTAATCTTGTCAAGGGTTTCAAACTTTTCTTTGTCAGGCCTCTAGTTGTAAATAATATACTTTGTTTAGCAGATAGTAACTCAGCATTAGTTTTTGTGGAACCATTTCCTGTTTGATTTATTATCAGCGAGTTGAATCAAAATTCATTTTCTGTTTCCACACATTTCACAAAACACAGAATACTAAAAGTATAAGAAAAAGTGGGTATAAAAAGTTGATTATTCTTTCCTATTAGATATAAGCTTAAGTTTTATTGTTGGTACTTGAATGGGACTTACCTGTAGCTATCAGTTTTGTGAGATGAGCAAACTATTTAAATAGGCTTGACATATAAAAGTTGACATATATATGTCAACTTTTTTAGAAAGACACCTTCCTGTATGTGACTCATTTAAGTCTTTAAGAAGTTCTAAATGAACATATTATTGGGGAACCTTCTTTTTTACGCCTTGAATTTACCCATGCTGTCTCTGGGTAACATCCTGTTGTTTTTTCTGGCCTTTAAGAATACAAGCATGCAAGAGAAGCTTGCCTTTGAGATGAGAATCCGTGAGGGAGCGTACAAGCTGCTGCTGGCCTGCAGTAAAAGGGAACAAGTTCTCAGCGCTTCTAAGAACCTGCTGACCTGCAGCGCCAGGATCAAGGCTTATCTAGCCCAGCTGCAGCGGGAGAAAGGAGAGCCGGACGCGATAAGAGCAGAGAGAAGGTAAAAAAAAAAAAAGTTTTGTGACACGTGTGAAGATGTATAAAAACACAAGTTGAACATTCTTGTTGCAGATTACTACCAACATTAGGAAAACATTTCTGGGTGGAGTTTGTAAATGGCAAACGTAGATCTGGTTTCTGAAATTAAAATGTTGAGTTGGGAGAACCTTGAATTGAATACTGTTTTTTGAAAACTGCTTCACAGGCTTGGATCTTTTCGTTTACCCTGTACTGGCACCATCGCAATTACTGGTAATACTATTCATATCTATTTAAAAATCATATGCCGCTTGTGAAACTGCATTTTTGCTGATTTTTATTAGTAGTTAGTATCTAATAGTAGATTTTTCCTTTCCTTTATTCTAGGCCTGCGGTTCCCTTTATTGTGGAGGGATTCAGACCATTTTAACAACAGAGGAAGTATGTTCTCCCATTGAATCATATAATGTCCTCTGTTGTGTTTCCTATGCTAACACACGCTGCGGCTCCTTTGTGTTTGCTAGGCTCTCGTCGGGTTGCGGTGTTCTGTCTGATGCAGATTGGCTCTGAAGTTTTTGACACCGACATGGTTGTTGTGGACAGATCCGTCACCGATATCTGCTTTGAGGGAGTCACCATATTGTAAATATATTTTCTATATTCTATTCCTCTATTCATAGCCTCAAAACATAAGCAGTGTGATTTTGCAGGATATTTAGCTGCAGATGAGTATCTTTTTTTTTTTTATAATGTTACAAGATTTTTTTTTTCAGAATTAGACCCCCTTTTTTATGAATTATCAGTCTTATGTAATTTTTCCTGTTCACACTGCTGGTAATTTGTGTGAAATTTCAGCTTTATTTCATTACATACTTCAAATGTTTTCATTAGACTGTTATTATTGTCCTATAGCAAAGATGTAGTTCCTCAATTTGAGCTGAAGGTGGAGCTGTGGAGCTGTTCACTGGAGGAAGAGCTCACCTTGTCCAACACACCAAAGAAACTTGCAAAGAAGCTCCGTAACTCCTTGGGAAAGAGTGCTGGAAAGAAGCTCTGCTCCCTGCTGGACACTCCAGACCCTGATAGCTTCCTGCAGGACAACCCAATACCTTTGTATGTATTTCTTTATTATATAACTAATCCTGCAGCTTGTCTTGGCTTTCTGTCTGCTCTTTGGAACCATTTTGACACTGGGATGCTGTACAAATCTGAGGGGGTTTGTGTGGGATTTTTTCAAAAGACAGCTTCAAATATCCTAATAAGGATTAGATGACTGTGTGTAGTAGTGACTATTTTTAGCTTTCAGATATTAATAGATATTTTTTTTTATATTAGTACTGGGATTTTCCCATATTCTTGTGTAGGTCTGTCTCAAGTTCAAAAGTGCACAAAAGTGTATTTAAGGAAATCAGCTTGGAGAGATAAAGTCTATTCATTCTAAAAAGAAGCCGTTTGAGATTTACAGGATGTTTAAAGCTCTGAACTTTGATCTGTTTATGTGTATCTACCTATAATCAGGGGAGCCAAATACAGCCTGATGGCGTGTACAACACTCGGCCTGCCTGATGCTGATAGCAGCTTTCAGTCTCACTCCCTCATCGTCTACCAAGATGGTAAGAGACAAAGACGCCAACCTTATTTATGGCCTATAGAGAGACAACAATCTCCAGCTCATAAATGTAATCAATACAAAGTTAATGATGCATAATTTATTCATTATGATTATATATGGACAGCTACATTTAAGTCTATTAATGTGTTATTGAGGTTCATTTTGGTTGGTGTTAATGTTGAATTTCAATCCAAATGTAATAAATTTGCACTATAATTTAATAGTTTTAACATTCACAATGCATACAATAAAACCCAATGTATTTTATCAAAACAAAAAAGTTCATAACTCTTCAGAATGGATTCTTCTTTGATGAAAAGTTTCACATCTTCTATGAGACTTTTTCAGTCTATGGAGTTACAGGTAAACTCTGGCTTACCAGTGGATCTACCTTAAGTTTAACAGCGACAGTTGGAAAAAAAGAAAAAACATGTCAAGAAGACTTTTTTTTCCCTAACCTGAATTATTGGGACACAGCAGGAAATGTTGTATGTAATTGTGAAGTGGTATGAAAAAGCTAAGAGGTCTACAAAATCATTTAAAAACTTATTTTTACTGCTAAATAAAATCATTTGCAACATTTGCCTTAAAAAAATAACCAAATCAGTCAAAATTATCAAAGTATAGATTAATACAGGGTGGATTCGGGTTTTCTGTCACAATGTCAGGTGTTTAAAGAGACAAAGTAGCATCAGTAAGACTAAGGAGAAAAGCAGACAGGTCAGTGATACATTTAGCTTCAGGATGAGCACTGTTCCTTCTATTATCTGACTGTAGAACATGACATGGCTGCAAACCTGCCAAAACGTATCTGTCTATCAAAACTTACAGGCCAGAATTTGGTAGCATTTACAAGTAATGTAATACAGACAGTTGACAAGGAGAATCCTATAAGAAATCCTTCATGCAGTTTTCCATGCATGGAATAAGGCGCTCAGCTCAGTTGAGAACAAAATTAAATTTTTGTTGCCTTGCAGTCAAAAAAAAGCCTAATCTTTTGGAAAGAGAATACTTTATGTTGCCTTAAACAGAAACCAGTCAGGATGTTTTGCACGGAGAAGCAGGTTGGCAGCATTATGCTGTGGGAATGCTTCAGCAGATACAAAGCAGTTAGTCAGAGTTAGTCAGAGTTGATGGGATAGGCAGCAAAAGAAGCAGAGATGCACCTTCTAGCTGGACACTAACCCTAGATATGCAGCCAGGGTGAGAATGAAAGGGTTCAGTTCAAAGCGTATTCAAGTGTTAAAATGACCCAGTCAAAGTCCAGATGGACCGAAATCAGACAGATCTCCTTCCAGTTTGACTGAGTTGGCAAAAAAAAAAAGAAGCTAAATGTTCAATCTGCAGATTTTGCAAAGCTGGTACAGAAAAACATTTCAGCTGCTGGCGTTAGCTTTATTAAATACTAAATACAAATGCAGACGAGACATCAAAGTTTATTTTAGCAAAACCTTCCAAAGTCTTTACTTCCACTTAACGGTTAACACAGGAGTTGTGCATAAACAGCCACATTACATTCTGAAAATATTCTTTGAAGTAGGGCTGTATCTAAAGATTATTTTGCTAATTGATTAATCTGTCGATTATTTTTTTTTTTACAATCAATCGATTAATGATCGGATTGCAATTGGTTCCTTAAAGAAGAGTTTTTGCTAAATTGAACCAGGTAAAAAATAAGTTTTTCCATTTGAGGAGTTCTGGATAGAGCATATTAACAGAACAATTATTTATTTATTTTTTATCATAAATGCAAAATGTTAACAAATTTTTGTTTTTGTTTACAATTTTGTTACAATTACTGCTTTAAGTGTGTCGCCCTGTCTGCTTAAGGCACCTTTTAGAGTCTCTATACTCCAGTTAACAATTAATCAATTACTAAATTAGTTGACGATTATTCCAATAATAGATTAATCACGATTAATCCGATCTTATTGTTTTAGCCATTGTTTGTAGTACTATAAAATGGGAAAAAGTGCCAAGGAATCTGAAAACCTTTTAAACACCCTGTTGAAGGGATGTTTGAGTAACTGTTAGATTAAATTACACAATAGAAAGAGATGACATAGTTTTTGCCCTCTAGGTAAAAATGTTGAACATTATTTCACTTTAAAATATCTTCTTTTTGTTCTCTTCCTCATCCTAACAGCTGAGTGGTCATCTTGGCTCCCCCTTTACGGCAACCTGTGCTGCCGGCTAGTGGCACAGCCGGCCTGCATGACGCAGAGCATGATGAACGGCTATTTGAGTCAGAAGGTAGACAGCTTCGCTTATTACATCACATAGAATGACTACGTTTTGGTGTGGTTTATGCAATCATCCTTTTTTTTTTTTTTTTGTCCCTCTGTTGATTTTCAGCAAAGTGTGGAGGGAGTAAACCGCTGCTGCAATCTCTACTGTGTGCTGAGCGCCGGCTCTTTGTCCTGTTACTTCACCCCAGAAGAAATCGATGCTAAAGTGCAACCGACTCTTAATGTGCAAATCAATAATGTGAGAGAGGGGAATATAAAACAGATATATAAGCAGAGAAGATACAGAAAAAACGTAGCTTCTCACTTTAGTGTATTAACTTAATAACTCAGTTTTTTTTTTCCTGAATGAATGTTGGTATGAGATACTAGCATTATCTCACTGTATTGAAGTTAGATGCAGCCGCCTGTTCTTTTTTTAAGGTAGAATAATCATAGAGCTTCCAGCTCCAATTAATTTTGAAAACATATTGGTGGCACACATTTAACTTTATTCGTTTAATGGAAACTTTTCTAATCTCCAGATGGTCAAAATTATGTCTACAGGCTCAAATATACCCCTTCCCCACAAAAAATGTGTTAACATTTCTCTTCATATATTAATTAATACACCACATGCTGTATGAATTAATCAATCTTTGTAGAGCACTTTCCATAAAAAAAAAAAAAACACATGTAACTCAAGCTAATTAAACCAAACAAAAAGACAGATAATTAGAAGAATCACAGAGGATGAGGATCTGAGAAAATGTTCTGGAAAAATCTGCTAGACAATAACATCAAGATAAAGAAGTTAAGAAAGCAGTTTTAGAACGGTGATTAAAATAATAGCAAATACATCACACATGAACTAGATATGAATATAAAACTTATTAGAATGTTCAATTAGAAAATATTGAAGCAATAATATGTGATAGGGAACAATTATGGTCTAGCTTAAAGTCTGAAGGAGTTATTTGTTTTTTTAAACTATCCAAGCTCTCAGCTGTGCTCAGGTCCTCGGGAAGGCTGTTTCAAAGGTACCATAAAAGCCAAATTACATCTCACAGTGGGTTGGTCCTTTTTTTGTTCTCTCTGTAGATACATAGATGACTCTTTTGAGGAGACCTGGGAGGTTTGGAGGGCTTGTTTGATTAAAAGCGTAAATAGGTAGTATTAAACAATCGTAACTTTTTAAAATGCTTGTAAAAACTTCTTAAATTGTTCCTGAAAGGCACTTGAGAAATCCTTGCATAACTATGGATTCACCCAGGCATTTATCCTCTTAAGTGTTGAATCTCTTCGAAGTTGTGTTATTTCCTGTTTTAGATTAGTGTTGATACGTGTTTGGAAACATGGTCCTGTTTGAATACCTGCTGGGGCCCAAGTGTTATCCTTCCTCATGTAGATTTGAGGGAAAGTTATTCAACCCATTTTGTGGATTATATCAGTACCACTGAGGGTGAATCTGACCCACAGCATTATACTACCCTCATCATGCTTTCTTTACCATATATCCATAGCTTAGGCCTTGTCCCATTTGATCATACATTTCTTGCTGAGACCCATTCAAGAGCAGTTTTCTTATTTCTCCCTGTCATTCTGGGTTGATGCAACTAGCTCTAGTTTGGGCTGAGACACTGATATTTTCAGTCCATCTTAGGCTTAATCACTGGTGATTCATAGGATTATCTGGAAATCTAAACATGTGTGGGAGACAGGTTGACTCGGGTTGTTGGAGTAGCATAGAAGTTTGTATTAAAACAGGATGGGTATCCCAAGCTCACGTCAGAACTAGTTTTAAAATGGAAACGAGCTGTTATTTAGCCTCTGAAATGACCCTGGCTTTAGTGTTTATAACTTTTATAACAACCTTTATAAACTTTCAATAAAAGTTCAGTTTGTGCCAAAAAATCAACTAATTTAATAAGAATTTGTATTTCTAAGAAGAAAAGTAGCCAGAATTAGGCTAGGAGCTTATTTATAGCTGAAGGATAATTGATCAAGCATTTATTTGAACCTGTATAAATATTTTAATTATCTGTTAAGAGGAAAAATCCACACAAAATTATAATTTTCTTGCACTCAGTTCTTGTGAATAAAAGACCCTAAAGTTGCTAGATGTTGAATTAATCCACAATTGAACCTTTTAAAAGTCCAGATTAATGATATCCCTGCATGTGTTGAGTGTATGTAATCATCTTAGCAGTCTTGTTTCTCACACTGAGATCAGACTTAAATAAAACATTTTTTTCCATCTTATTGCTCTTAATGCTCCTGTAGGAGACCCGGATTTGTGTGCTGGACAAAGAGAGAGGTGGCCGAACATCTAAGAGTTTGTCAATCATCAACCCTTCACCCGAGGGATCTCAGAATGTTGTGTTCACTGCGGACTCCAGGGAGGAGCTGGAGGAATGGGTAGACTCCCTCCACCAGCACCTCTATGACCAGAGTAAGACTTTCTATTTGAGCTTTAAAAGTGAGAGGTAATATTTATCTAATATTGCTAATATGATTAGAGCGTCTGTACCATTAAAGTCTCCTGATACTTGGAGAAAATCTGCTCAGGATGAAAGAGCAGTAACCTTTTATCACCGTCTCTCATGTCCGTCCTTGTTTATGACCAGGCCAGTGGCTTCACTGCTGCGATCGGCTAATGAAAATTGAGGTGGCATCACCACGGAAACCATCACTTTTCCTGGCCAAGCAGGCCGACTCTGTTTACAACGACCTCAGTGAGTATAATAATTTGAATTAGAGTCCAAAGTGATTTAAAGGGAAGCTGATATTTGGCTGCAGCTTTGAAAAAAGTTCTATTTCATTTAAGATAATGTTTTCCCATCACCTCACAAAAAATATTTTTCTTCATTCCAAAAAATGATGCATGCAAATGAAATCCTTTTACATGCAAATGAGAAACCAGGGATGCGTGTCTCTGTGTCCTTTGAGAATTATTTCTTTCACACGTCAGACGTGGGGAGAGAAAGCAGAAATGTTTCATCTGTGAATTTCCTTTGTCGTTGGTTAATTTAATATCTCCCTTAGGTATAAATTCGCCCAGCAAGTTTGAGAGCATCACAGACATAATCCATAGTAAAATAGAAGAGACAGATGGCCGCTTCCTTATTGGGCAGGAGGAGAAGACGGAGGCCCCTAACTGGTCCTCTCTGTTTGATGGGTCCCATTCAGTGGTGGTGGAGAAGAGTTTGTTGTCCCAGAGCAAAACCTCCACCCCCTGTTCAAGCCCAAACCACAACACCAGCTCCACCCCCCTCAGCAATAAGAAGCGGCGGGCTCCGCCCCCTCCCTCTGATGTAAAGCCTTATTCCAACCCTCCCTGTCCACCCAGACCTCCCCTGCCCTCCTCTCTGCGTCACCCACCTCCTCCTCCAAACCAGGAGAAGGAAAACTCCGGCACTTCAATTTCACGTCCAACCATGAGGTCCAAAACGGGCAGACCCTCTCTGGATGCCAAGTTCTCTGCTATCATCCAGCAGCTCCAACGGAACAACGCCGGAGGCGCAGCTGCTTCGAGCCGAAAGAACGCTCCACTGGCCGTCCTGGACATGCACACCCAGGGTCCAACTCAGCTGTCACTACAGCAGCCTGACTGCCAGAACCACAGCCTCCAGATCCCCGAGGATGCAGCCGATCCTGTGTTTGTCAGAGGCTGCAGTGGTACCGGTCCCGTTCCGGCGCCACGCACTAAGCTGAGGAAGTCTTTCAGAGAGAGGATGAACCTCTAAGCTGTGTGATACCAAACTTTTCTGAATCCTTCCAGCCAAACGGTTCCCAAAAACTCACCACCAGCATTAATGTTATTTTCACTTTGGGGTTTGAAATTATTCATTCCAATTTTCAGAAAATGTGATTTATTTTAATTTTTTTTCTTTAAAGGAAGTTTGGGTGCATAACTTTAAGCTTTAAGCTTTAAGTTTTCTTTAAGCATACAGAGCAAATTACATATAGAGACACCTCGGCTAGTATTCGACTAAATATTCTGAACATGTTGCAGAGAAACGCCACAGTGTCTGTTGTCATTAACAAGGGTCCCGCTTCTAAAAAGTGTTCTTATCATAGATCCGGTACTTGTGAAAAGGCGGTAGTTTAGGATAATTGTCCCGTTGGAACTGTTAGTGTTTGTAGGTTAAAAAGCCTTACATGAAGTCATCCAACATTCTTCCTGGTCATAAATGTAAACCTTAACCAACCCAGGATGTGAAATTTGGTCAGTATCCTCTCAAGTATTCAGTTCAAACCGTGCCTCTAAAGCATATTCTAGATTTAGTTATTCTAGCTGATTGGTTGGTTGATGGGTTGTTCATGAACATTCTCCAATTCCTTTTCTTCAAAGGTTTACGGTTTAAAATAAGAGGGTTTTAATTTGTTGCTAGATAATAATTTTTTGAAGTGTGGAGATAAGCCATCAGACCAAGAAATCCCCCAAAAAACTGTCACGCATGGAAGCATCATGCTGAGGGGTCTATACGGCTGTTGGAGGTAGTAATGCATTAAATGTGGTAGACTAAAAATTTGGAGAAAAAAGACAAATAAGCAAACTTTGGCTTTAGAATGGAGCACACTTACTATTTGCTCTTCAGCAAGAATTGTGCCACAAGCTTGTTGACAACAAGAAAAACTTGCTGTCTGAGGCAACCTTTTACCAATTATAGATTCATACATGTTGATATTTGAATGTTTATTTTTTTATTATCAATAAACCTTCATCTAGAATGGTTCAAGTTTTTCATTAAAGGGTTAAATATCCTATTAAATTATGGTCATGATAACTTGTAGGTAGAAACATTTGATTCAGTGTGTGTGCGCTTCTCTTTAGCACAAATAACGGATACAACCACTTTATATGATTAACGTAACATTAATGAAATCAGAAATGTTGTCTCCATATGTGTGCCCACCAGGTATAAACTGTTTAACGGTTTGAGGCAGATTATCTTGAATGTTGTGTTTTATTGTAAACTGTCAAGAATTACTACATTCATATTCATGAAACATTTAAAAACCTGCATCTTGGGTTATATAAAGTACACAACGATTAACAGGTAATGTAGGATTTTAGGAATAAAATCTAAAAAAATAGGATGCTTAAAGGGTAGAGATGCTCTGCTAGGAGGGTGGATTTTTTTTTAGACAGTCAGAGCGCTACCTGGGGGTGGACGTCTTTATTAATGGGGGCAAACTGCAATGTAGCAGCTATCAGTGAATTTACAATGTTTAGAAAAATTTTAGAAAATGAGTTTTAGAAGACTTTAAAAGGAAAACTACCCCACTTTTATGAAATGTTGGCATGTTTGCGATTTATCAATGTTTCTGGTTGCAAAGAAAGTAAGAAAAGTTTGTTTTGGTTTTATTTTTATATGTTGAGGTCTCATACTGTCATGGAGCCTGCTGGATTTGCGGATGTACTCAGATTAGTTTTTATCTCTGAGGTGGGATAAGATTACGTAAGGAAGTGTAAGTTGGCGGTTTTTATTTATTGCTGCTAACGGTTCTAATAAAAAATACTCAATATATTTAGCTCTGTAATCACTTTATATCTAAAGAAATGGTAAAACTTTGATTAGCAGCCTCTCCTGTTGCAAACAGGGATGGGAATTAATGTTAATTAATTCCTAACCTATAAGTAATTGGGAAAAAGCTCAAGATTTAAATAAAAATGCTGTGAATAATTGTTCCTACTGGAGCTGGGTAAAATCTATTAGTAGGGTAAAAGGTTTACAAAACATATTGCATCTCTAATAAGGTGCCTCTGAGTGATTAAAAACATCAATATAAAAACATCAATATAAAAACATTTTCAATTTTTCAAGCTACTACAATTTTCAGGAATTGGGTCACAGATAACCAGTTCATACTCCAATGTCGGTGCTGCACAGACAAATCTGCTGCTTTTCTTCAATAACATTCTTTTTATTTGCTTAACCCTGATGTGAGAAGACACTTCGGTCCAACAAAAAAAGAAAAGCTTGTTTCTTTGATTCAGATCTATAATAGGAACTAAAATGGAAAAAAAAAAGAAAAAAAAGATACAGTTGAGTTGACTTAAATTGAAGTTTGTCTGTTTGGGTAACAGCAGACAAGCCTCTGCTTTTGGGGCCATCGACATGTTCTACTTAACTGTGACGACTTTATGACCACTGTAGCTCATTTTAAAGAAAAGCAATTGCGAGCAGTAATGTGGCTTCTCTGTTCCCCCTTGAGGTCTTTAATAGAGTAACCTTGTTTTTTAGTGGCTGCACAGTACGTCTAACAATATAACACAGCAGCCAATAAATGCTCTGAACATAATTGAATGAATGGACCTTTTGAGTGGCCTGAATAATGAATGTCCTTGTGTGCTTGTTTTGAACATACCCAGTACTGAGAGCCCCCTAAATATTTCAGCCACTTAATGGCATTGTACTGAAGAATGGTTATCGTAATTAACCACAGAGTACAAAACATTGCTTTTCCTAAAATAACCTGAAGAGATGAGGGAGCTAGGGGAGAGGGACAGTAACTGTCTGTGTTGTTCTGCAGATTTGCTTAAAATGATACAGAAAGGTTAAAGGTTTGGGAGAGAAAAGGGAATGTATGCCAGATGTGTTTATGCTTGCTGGGAATTATTTGGCTTCTCTACCGTACGTTCTTGGAAATCTTAACTTCCATCATATTAAAGAGTTTGTCCATTTGCACAAAAGAAAACTGGAAAAGTCCTGTTTTAGCTCAATAATGGGTGATTTAGGCATAGAGTAGCACAGCTAACTAAAGGAAACATATTTAATTGACTGCAATAATAAAAACAGATGTTTGTAGTTTTTATGACTGAAATGTTTTTTTTATAGTTGTCTTTTTTATTTAGTACCAGTTTATAGTTCTTTAATCTAGCCTCTGTAATGTATAAGTTGAATGCAATATGAAATTGTCACTTTTTTTTTTTTTTTTTACTCTTTTCTATCTAACTGTGCTGTTTTTGTTTTTTAAATCACTGCTGATCTGCAATAAAATGACCTAGATTCCACCACGCTGAGGCTGCTTCATTTTTGCTGAGCTCTGGAAGTGTAACAGAATATTTCTCATGTTAAAAGTTTACCAGAGGGTGGCAATAAAAGTCAGAGCACGGCTTTTATTGCACCCCGATTCACACGCCAGAGATACTACATGCACTGGCGCATTTCTTCAATGCAGCAAAAGCTGAAGAGCCTGCTTTGGCTCTGAGCCCAGAAATGGCCTGTTGTGAAGATTAAAGCCAGTGGAATCTCAGACAGATGATAGTTTAACTATATTAAAATACCATTCACATATTTACTAAGAGAGAAAGATACTGTGGTGTTTCAAAGCAGTTTGTAAAATATTGCATTTTAATATGCTCTGCATAATATTATTGCATTTGTTTATTAAGAGCTGGACTACCTTATTCAGGCACACATACTTTAATCTAAATCTCTCCACTGTAGCTCTGGCTTCTTGTTTAGGGTTTTTAGCCTGCAGGAAGATGAGCCTCAACATCAAGTCTTTTTGGTCCTCTAACAGGTTATCATTCAGGTTTGAACTCCTTTTAATTTCAATGAACAACTTGTTCCTCTGGTGAAGTGAAAAGGGGTTTAAAATAAGTTAAAGTGCACATTATAAGTACATTTAGTTTTACAGCATTGTACTTTTGACTTTCTCTTGAGTAAGTTGTGTCATACGTTTCATTTCAAAGCAATGAATTAAGCTGCCATGTCAGACATTTAAAATTTGGGATGTGGTTCGATATATTTTTTTGTTAGCTTTTCCACTATGTTCTCTGTAAAAACAAAATCTTGAGGCCAGGAACAGAATTTTTTTTTTTCCGATTATTTGAGTGGGATATTTTGAGAGAATCAGTCACTGGGCAGAATGGAACACACATCACACTGATTTTATTTTTTTAAAATGCGTGATTCAATGTTAAAACTATTTACCTTCGATCCACTGCCCAGTTTTTTTTTCGTTTCTACTTTCTGTCAACCCTCACAAACGATTCCAACCAATATGCATAAACATGCGGTTGTATTTTTACTTAAATATGTCTGTGTGCGGGTAAGAAACCCATGAAACATGTACTGATAGTAAAATATTTTAATTAAATATACAGGAGGTCATATCATACAAAATGTCTTTATTTTCTGTTTTGCTGCCAGCTGGATGATTGTTAAACAGATGGCTATGGTATCAAAAACAGTTTCAGGATGCACAACATAAAAAAAAAAAAAAAAGAAATTAGGACAACAAATAAAAAAAAAACAAAGCGTATCCTAAATCTTTATTCGTAGTGTTTGAGGCTAACATAAAACAGCAAAAAAAAAAGACATCTATCTTGTGTAACCAACTTTTATACTGTTCTTTTTTTAACTATTTACAGATTATAACAGTTTATATGATGACAATCACACAGTGCTATCCACAGTGCTATTTACACAGATAAGACAAAGAGAGAAGATTTGTTCCCCCGCGTGAATGTTCTGTACAGGAGCCAGCATACCTACACAGCATAGTACAGTACTAAAATCAGCAATGAATGTCTTTAAGTGTTCAGTAAAATCAGAGACGTTTACAGCTTTTTCTTTTTTTTTTTTGTTGTTTGTTAAAACAAGAGAAATGTTTTCAATGTATTTCAGCCGTCCTGCAATTATAGTGGTTGTAAAAAGCCAGCGCAGGTGTTTGCACCCGCGGGGTTGTGGAGCATCCGGTAGGCATACTTTATGGTATCTGGTATCTTTTTCTTCACTGCTAGAGAACTCGCCTTCCAGATGACAGATCCTATGGGTCTATAAGCTGTCTCTGAATCTGGGTGAGCAGATTTGTTAAAGCACAAAAAATAAAATCTAAAATTGGTCTATAGTTTCCTTAAATTTTAAATCTTACCCTTTAAGTATGTCTGGTATCTCA